GAATTTCGGAATACCTCTTTCGTATCTTTGGTTTATTCATCTTTAAAACCAGTAAAGAGGGTGCGCAAACGACGCTGCATTGCGCGATGTGTCCTCTTGATGAGCTGGAACTTGTTGCGGTGCCATCGGAGAAGGACGGCGATGTAAGTCCATATTTTCTTGAGTGTACCAATAAAACGAAACTGCTACTCGAGAAGCATGGCTGGGATGTTAAAGAAGCGGAGATGATCATTGCGTGGGGGAAAGAAATTGTAGGCCTTTTTTAAAGTGACAGGTGTAATACATCAAATATGATGGTATCTAGTAGTTCACTAAATAACCCGATGAATCAATTTACATTCTAGCATTATTATCTTTATCATTATCATAATTTTTAACCCTCTTGAAGTTGTATATTAATTTCTTCTTTCTTTAAAGTTGTTTAGTACAATGAAAATTTTGTTGCTCTGGCCCTTTTTGGATTTTTGCACCAAATATATATATACTCATAAATATGTCTGTAAAGGTAAGATTGTTTGCTCATAGTGCATTTATTTGTTTACTTGTTTTTGAATGCATACCAATTTTATTGTGTATACTTAGTTATAGTGAGGCTAAGAAAAAGCATTGTGGAAATTATCTTTTTTTCAACATCTCAACGATCTGTCTATACCACTCAATAGTAAATAGAGGAAGAATCGAAACTGAGGTAAGTCTCTTATATTATTACTGAGGATTCAAAAATCCCTTTTTGTATCCGAAAGGATTCTTTTTTCCTGTTTTATTTTTTAGTTTTTGTATTTTATTCTAAAGCTTTTTTAGAATTACTTGCTTTTGCCCTTTTATGATTTTTAAAGGATATCAAAAGAAGACTGATTATTTTTATTTTATTAATTCTCATACCTTTGTGGATATTGCTTGATATGTTGCATCTGCATTCTAATGAAGTATCTGCCATGGTTATTCTTTTGTTGTTATTATTCACTCTTATTGTGACACCATCTGTATTCCCATTATTTTGGCAAGCGCGTTCTTGGCTAGATATTCTCCTATATATATTATGTTTTCTCGTGATTTCTCGTTTGACCGCTCGGGGGTCTCGCTGCCTATGGCCGCCTAACGTGGACTTTACGGGCCGCGTGGCGCTCGTTGTGGGGGCCAGCTCGGGGGTCGGTTTTGAGGTTGCTGCGCAGCTCGCGATGCAGGGCTGGACGGTGATCCTCGCGGGACGTCATCGGGGTCGTCTGCTGCGCGCTCAAACGCGAATTAACCACCAACTCGCCCGACATCCCGCGACCGCCGGAAGATCCAAACCCGACTTCCCGCGTGGGAGGACTTTTCTGCTGGATGCGGTCGATTTCCTTGATAAGGAGTCCGTGCGCCGGTTCGCATCCAGCATTCTTTCGATACAGGATCGATATCCTCTCGCGCTCCTGGTAAACGCCGCGGGCGTCTTGCGTCGGCATTTGCACTATTCTTCGAACAAAGATTGGTGGGATCTGGAGGAGATGCTCGCGACGAATGCGGTCGGCCCTATGCTGCTCACGAAACTGCTCTTACCTGCGCTTATTCAAACTGCGGAGCGCTCTAGGCTTTCCTCGCGGGTCGTCAACGTGGCTTCGAGTTGCCATACCTTTCTGGGCTTTAAAAAACTGAGGCTACGGGACGATCCTATCGACATGATTTGTGATTTAAAAAGAAATGCAAGGTTGCTGAATCTTTCAGGTGTCCCTACACAGCAGAACGTGCCTGAGGGCTGTCTGGCGTCCAGTGACGATTCGCATTACGTGATGCACGATTTTCCACTTCTCAATTTTATCGGTTATTATGGCCTGTCAAAGCTGTGTGTGATTTGGAACACGCGACTGTTGGCAGAGAGTCTTTCAGGACTCACTTTTGATACTTCACTCAATGCAAATGAAGCGAAAGCTCTTAGAAAACAGACTGAAAAAGTGATTTCGCTCGCACCAGGAGAATCAAAAGGGGTTCCTTCTCAACGTCAGCGCTCCAAAGTATATGTGGCCTGCGTGCACCCAGGCATCTCTGCAACCCATCTTTATCGGGACTTGCTACCGAGCTGGTTTCTCGATTATTGTGTTTATCTTCCCTCTCTCATTGTGGGAAAGACATTGGATGAACTGGCGCAGTCGACGCTTAAAGCCGCTGTTGAGGAAGAAAATATAGTGCAGGGCGGTTATTATATGTGTGATGGGGAGCACGGTTCCAACAACGGTGTGAATTGCCTCTCTAAGCACGCTACTGACGCCGCGGCGATAAAAGCATACGCTAAGTTTCTAGATCCGTTGCTTCAATCCTAACGAAATTGTATAACTAACTCTAGGATGTTCATCCCCTGGAGTTTTGTGTAGCGACTTTTAATTTTTATTAGTTTTTTTGTCTTCTTTTGAATATGTGTGTGACCACTTTTTGAGTTACCGTAAGAAGTTTTAAAGATTTTTCTACTTGTTCCTCACTTTCCTGCTAGGAGAACATAACAAATGAGACCAATACTAATCTACATAATGATACTAACATACCATTCTGATACGATATCCATGCACCGTTAATTTAGTTTCCATGTATTATTTTTATCTTTTTTCCATTTCTAATGTGGAAATATGCTGTTGATATGAACTAAAAATTAGAGACTTCAATAAAGATAATAAAACCAAGGACACAACTGTGTGTTATTAATATTCACAATAGGTCATAAATTATCCGCATGATGGAAGGTTCCCCAACTGAATTCGCATCCTCCACCGAAGAGAAGATTTTGATCGAGCTGTTTTCTTTACCCCCCCCACCGTCTATCACACCCCTGCACTCCCCGCAGGAGCTTCAGGCGCGCTACGATCAGTGCGTTGCCCAGTCTAGAGAACGGCTGCGTGGTAAACTCACCACTTCCCATTGCGCGAATGAAGTCCCGGACTCCGTCATCCCCTGTATGGCTGACATTTTCCTCAGTCACTGTCCAACTCTGGAGCTTTCGTCAACCGAGGTGGGGCCGCTTATCCAGCAGCTTCTCTCTCAATCGTTTTCCGATCCACAAGCGCGTTCCAAAATCAAAAAAGAATTAGAAGGGTTGAATCTATCCTACCTTCAAAGTCTCTACGACGCGCCGGAAAAACAAGAAGCGGATCGATTTCGTCGCGTAGACGTCGACCGCAGCCGCCGAATTTTAATTTCAAACACTGAAGGACAAAGTGATAGTGCGAAGGGCGACCCTATTTCTGCAAAATCGACCCGAGGAAAGAAAATCGCAGAGTGCGTATCCTGTTTAACGCGAGGACAGCACCAACATTACAACCATATTGTAAAACTTTACATGCGGGATCGCCGCCGCCCGCCTGCGAGCACGCCTTCTCACCCGGATACCACTATAGTGCTTGATTTAATTGAAGCCGAACAGACCTGTTTTTTGGCCAAGCTTAAGCGGGAAACCTGTGAATGCGCCCAATGTCTCAAGGAAGATGTGGACGGGCATCTTTCTCACAGCGCTTTAGAGGCTTCCAATAATTGTATTAATCACAACTTCTTGGGAAACCTGCATTTTCGTCGCTTTGCGCAGCATCGTCGAATTCAGCGTTTGTCGGAAAGGGTCGAGAGTTTTTTGACTCTTGCGAAGATGGCTGTCGAGATCGGCGGCGGCGGTAGCCCCTGCCCCGGTTCTCTCAGCGTAGCGGATAAAAAACCCGCCCGTGAAAAAAATTGGGTGCATTCTCACACGTCCGAATCTTTCTCGCGTTATGGCCACCTCATCACTGCTGGGCATTCCGTGCAAGTTAAGCTTGTTCTTGGTAACGAGGATGAAGAACAAAGGAAGCAGGCAAGTACCTTGAAGGAAATTCTTCCATTGGTACTTCCATCCAGAGGCACTGGGGAAGGCAGAAAGACAATTTTTACAGCGGAAGATGATAAAACGGGAGAGGTGGAGGGGTCAAGCAATGGGATCGCATTACCTTTTACTCTTGACGTGAATTCTCTGATAGAAGTAGCCTCCGCGGCGCGACATGTGGAGGAGGAAAATGCGGACCGTAATAGCTCTGGAAAGGAGATGCCGGATGATAAGGAATTATCAGAACAATTTCCGAAGAAAAGCACATCCAAAGTGTACTGGGATGATACAGTGGATGGCGTCTACACTTTTCACAACCCTGTTATAAACCCTATGGTGGCTGTGCTTGATCCCAGATCATCTGGTGTGAGCGTACTGGGGTTTTCATCGTCGATAAAGGGGTTTAGCATGGCCTTGTCTTTTGAAGCAATGCTAACGCTACTAACTGTACATATTAGTCGAAATGGAGAGGGTAGTGATCCCCTTCATAATGGTTTCCGCCTTCCAATTCTTGCACGTGTCGTACAACCAACTGTTAACGGGCACCGTACTGATGGTACATCACCGGGGCACGATGAATCCTTTGAAGTGCACTTGGAGATAGGAAACCCGTTTCCCAGAGAGAAGGAAACTCGACGTAGTATTCTGGTAGATGCTATGGAATATTTAATCAGTCATAACAAATCAATATCCCCGTTTCTCCAAGAAAGGGGTCAAGATAAAGTTCACGAGCAAGTTCTGTCCACAACATTCGCCTTGACAAATGCTAATGGTAACCTAGATGAGTCACGGCAAATAAACTCACAACTGTCACCTAACCGCAAAGCGAACTGCTGTGCGACTCTAATGTTATCGCGTCTAGATAATGACCCTGGATCCTCGCGACTGGAGAATTCGAGGGCGTCAGGTAATGATTCGTTTTTCACCCAGCCTCTTTATTTGAATGTTGTGCATCGCGCAGTTGCGTTTCAGGATGGTGTGAGGCCGGTCTTCGTCATGGTTAAGGTAAATTATCTGAACAAATGCCCTAGCTTAAGTCTAACGACTTCTTTTCCTCCTTCTGTACAATCACCAGCATCACCATTGCTCCGGGAATCTTTCAGCATAGACGAAATTTTGGAATTGTGTTTATTGTTTCGCTGCTTTCCGACCGCAATAGTTCGCGTTTACTATGTTAATGCGTACTTTTCTTACATTTTTGGTATTACCGACTTCACACGCTCGACCTGGGAGACAGCACTGACGATGCGGCAGGATAAAGTTTCCCTTTCTGTTCTGGAGGATCTTTTCACAACTCCCGCGGTAACGCAAAGCGAAGATTTTCATTATGCCTACGAATCCCTCTTTGATGTTTTGCACGCGGTTTGCCGACGTGTCTTAGCAAAGGTGGCAGAGACGCTAAATTTTCAGAAGCCATCACAAACAGCGCTGCAAGAGGTTGCCAACTTCCATTATCTTCTGGTTAAATCCAATAAACCTAAAAAAAACATCAATCAAGAGGCCGCAGGAGGTCAACAACACAAAAAGCATGGACACCGCCACCAGAACGCTGAGGGGGTGCATCGAAATAAAAAGTACGACCTTTTGCTTTACCGTGTTGACGAACTCTATCCGAAATTCGAGTTACAATTTAACAAGAATAAAGAAGCGGAGTCGTTGGCATTTGTGGAGGGGGCGAGTTCTGAGGTCTGTGAAAGAGAGTACCTGCCACCAGACAATTGGATTTACCGGGATTCTATTCCTTTCACGTTTCCACCAGCAAAGGTTTCCTGACCTCTGGTGTTGGTTGAATCCTTTAAAGCATCTAGAACGATTCGTTATCATAACCTGTTAATACATGTGCACAAAAAGAACGACCAAAGAACTTCTAATTAGTGTCACAATACTCTATTCGGTTCCTTTTTTTTTTTCCATGTCCTATTCCGCTCTATTTTTTCGTGTGAGACATTTTTTTAAATTCCCGTGTCATATTCTGTTACTTCTTTTTCTCCCCCTCCTTCCCCTTTCTATATATATTTTCTCCCTTTTGGTGTCTTTCTTCAGCCAGCTCACACGTACTCCCCTTTCTCCTGATGCCCCCGAAGTTTGATCCCAACCAGGAGATCACCGTGATCGTGCGTGCGGTCGGTGGTGAGGTCGCGGCCACGGCGTCCCTGGCCCCAAAGGTCGGTCCCCTCGGCCTCAACGCGAAGAAGATCGGTGAGGATATCGCCAAGTCCACCAAGGACTGGAAGGGCCTGAAGGTTACTTGCGAGCTTCGTGTGAAGAACCGCGTGGCGACAGTGATGGTGACCCCTTCGGTTGCCTCCCGCCTCATCCGCGCCCTCAAGGAGCCACCGCGCGATCGCAAGAAGGTCAAGAACATCAAACATAACGGCAACATCGCCTTTTCAGAAGTCATCAAGATCGCGAAGGAGGCGCAACCGAAGTCGATGGGTGCGAACCTGAAGTCCGTTGTGATGGAGGTGCTCGGCACCGCCGTCTCCATCGGCTGCACGATCGACGGCGAAAGTCCAATGGAGATTCAGAACAAGGTCCGGGAGGGAAAGCTGAAGATTCCGAGCTAAGTGAAATACTGCATCAACTCACTCCACTTGACGAGAATGGCACACTACAGTGTGTGAGTGTCATTGTTGTTCTTCGTCCGATGCTTTGTTTTTCCTTTCCTTTCAGGAATCATTTCAAACGCAGCTGGTATGTTTTTCATTCTTATTTGCGCGTGAATACTCGGTGTGATGGGAAGTGGACATGCGTGAAGAATATTCCCCATCCATGTTTCCATGTTTTGATGCTTATCGCGTAACGAACTTTAATGGTTAACCATTTGGATAATTTGTATGTTTCCCTTTTCTCTCTCTCTCTCACATACACCATTTGAAGATCATAACAACTAAGAAGGAGGAAAGACGAGCGCAACTACCTAATAAAAGCACATTGTCCATCCAATAAACTTAAAAAAAAAATAATAACACACTGACAGATACACACACAAAAAAAAATTTACTTTATTCACACGCTCCAACGATGATGGAAGACCAAAAATCGCAAAACTCCAAGGACCTCAACCCCCCGCAGAGCCTCAATGAGGATCGTCTGCAACGCAACCAGGGCGCCATCCTCTTTGTGGGCAACCTGCCCTTCCAGACGCCCTGGCAGAACGTCAAGGACCACTTTAAGAACGCCGGCAAAGTCCGTTACACGGACCTCATCGCGGACCGCAACGGCCGCCCCAAGGGCTCCGCGCTGGTTACAATGATGTCCGTCGACGGCGCGCAGAGCGCGATTCGCATGTTCAACGAGACCGACTTCGAGGGCCGCCGGTTAATCGTGCGGAAGTTCGACGATGGCCCGCGACCGCCACTGGTTCAGCGGGATATGATGCCGCAGTACCACAACAACAACAACGCCCGGCGGAACCCTTTTACAGGGGCGATGGGCGCAGTGACCCCGGGGCCCGCCGCGAGCGGGTACTACCCCAATGTGGGGCCGGTCGCCGGTGGAGGGGCGGGCTCCGGGGGGCCGATGGGGAATAACGTGGCGCCTTACGGCCGGCCCTACGGCGGGCGCCCGGGCGGGGTCCCCTATCAAATTGGGGAGGCGGAGAACGCCCTAGGCGGGGTGCCGATGCTCGACCTCGCCGGTGAGCAGGTGCCGAAGCCGCGCAGCAAGCAAATCTCCGAGATCGGGCGGAAGCTCTTTGTGTCGAACCTTCCCTTCGACTGTACGAGCTACGCTCTCCGTGAAACCTTTCAGCAGGTTGGAAATGTTGAGCGGGCGGAGATTATCTTGGGGCGGAACGGCAAGAGCCGCGGGATGGGTATTATTGTGATGAAAACCGAGGAGGAGGCTCGTGTGGCGATTGCTGAGTTTGATGGGATTGAGATGGCAAACCGTGCGATGAATGTGCGTCTCGACAAGAATACATGAAGAAGAAGGGAGTGCACCTTATGAAAATCACCTACTCCCTTCCCTTTTCCTCTCTTTATATTTCTCTAAAAAAAAAAGAAGCGGGTGAAAGAAATTTTTGAAGAAATTACTAAATAGAAGGTGTCTTTTACTAATGTAAGGCTTCATTGAATGATGGAAAGATTACCTTTGTGATAGGCCTTAAACACATCAAATACTTCTGCGCAACTGGTAAATCGGATCCATCTGAGCCTTGTGAAAGACTGCGTTTGGGGGTAAATATTGAAAATTTTAATATGAAAAGGATATTTAGGTAAAATTTAACTAGTGATGATTTGCTTTATTTTAATGCAGGAATAAAAACCGAAACAAGATCACTTTCGTTTTTCGCGCTAAGCATCACGGACTGACATCCTTGTTAGTATTCATTCGTTTCCGTAAGTTGTTTTGTCCTGTGAACTAAAATCTGAAAGTTCTTAAACGTTGAAAATCGAAAGTGATCTGTTTATACATACATATATCTATCTATCTATATATATATATATATATGAGAATTGAATTGTTCCATGAATTCTGAGTTAAAGTTAAGGAGGAAGGAAGGGGAAGATTTAGTATCAAATCCATTTGATAAGTTTATCTAAATTTGATTTTACTCTCTGTCTGGGGTTGAATATCGGAGATAAATAAAAAGCACAAGAATTGATCTACTTGACTTTGGATTTATCGATCTTGTATATATATCTATATCTATTTAGCTATTTTAAAATACTTAAGTAGATATAGAAATATATAAGGGTTTCATCTTCACTTTATAATGTTTCCTATCTTAAGTAGTATGAAACTCTAAAATTCTTAATTGTAATTTGAATCCGAAAGTAGTATAAAGTGCTTTTTTTTTGTGGGGGAGGGATCATTTTCTAAAGGCCCTTCTTGTCGAGGTATCCAGATGGAACTTCTGGAAGAATGTATACTGGGTGTCGGGAAAGACTTAAAAAGTAAGCAAGAAAAGGGGAAATCGACTCATCATTGAAATCACATTACAACTAAAAAGTCAAAAAAGGTAATTAAAATTCTATTTGAAACTGATTTTTTTTATTTCCTTTTGATCCTTTTTTCAAGAACTATTGTCTACACATATGTGTTTTCTTTGATGCTTACTCAAGTATGCTTTTTGCCGAGATGGCTATTTACTTATCTAGGTTGGATGATTGGTACGAAATAGGATGTTTTTGCGTCTATGTCAGGGCATTTTTGATTTATTTGAGACTTTGTGATAGATAGCGTAAAAAGAAAGTGTTCTCGATCACTGTTTGTACATGTGATTCTTTTGTCCTACGAATTTGGCTGATAGTGTGAAGAAACGAGGTAGTAGCAAGGTTTCCGTGTGCGTTTTATCTTTGCTTGTTTCCTTCATTTTTTTTTTTTCACACCACCAGTGTATTTATGAGGCAAAGTAGAGGTGGTCTGTAATGGGTAAACCCTAGAATCACATATGCATATGAACTCCAGTATTTTTCCTGTGAATCCCGAGTTATGCTGCTTTGTCTTCCCTCCCAAAGACAACCAGCCCGTAAGAATAACTAGATAAATTTATACTTACATATTTTTCAACCCTATTTCCATCGGGTCTTTGCCACTGAGGCCTCTGTTCGAGAGTTGCATGCGGTTTATCTCTTTTTCCTTTTTTCTGGACCACACTAATATGTACCCGATATCCTCTTCATCTCCCCCCCCCCCTCCTTTTTTTTTTCTTTTGGGTATTTTGACCTTCATTTTTTTCTTTTCATTTCTGTACATTTTTGTTACATCGGTTGAGATGTCCTCGGACGCACTGTGACACAGCCACCTTGTGAATCACCGTACAACGTTGACCCAACACGTCCCAGGCCACGCGGGGTGTGACCTTCGCCCGGCGTATCGCGTGATGCTGACGGGGATCCCGCGGGAGGTGGAGCCGGAGGAGTTCTACGCCTACTTGCGCTCACACCTCACCCATCACGCGCTGCCCGCTCTCGTGAACGCCCTGCTCTTGCGCATCCCCGCGGAAGAGGGGAAGGAAGGGGGAGGAAGGAGTACCGGTGCCGCGCTCGTGGACTTTTCCTCAAAGGCGGCCGCGGAGGCCGCGATGACAGGACATGTAAATAGCTCGACCACAAATAGTGGTGTGATTAGCGGAGGAGGGGGAGGAGGAGTGTACGTTGCGGGCGTGAAGCTGCGTTGGCAGCCGCTCGGCGCTGTCATCGCCGGGGAGGGGTCATGGGCCGCCGCGATGCTCCCCGACGCCATCGCTGCGGAGCAAGAAGGGCGACGAGCCTACACCGCTATCGAAGGGGATGAAAAGGTGGCGAAGAAGTGTCAAACGAGCGTGGATGAGCGAAGAAGAACCAGAAAGAGAGTAAAGGAGGGAGACGAATCCAATTCCTCCCCAATGAAACTCTGCAAATCTGAGGGCGGCGTGCAAAGGGAATATACACTACCCCTAACAGGAAATTCCAGGGAGGAGGTTGTGGTGCGTCTTGTGGCTGATCGCTCGCTCTCCAAACTTTATCCTTTTAACCGAGATGGAGAAGTTCATTTGTTTAGCGATATCGAGCGTGAGCTACGGAGAATGATTATGGGTGTTCTCTTTTCTCTTCAACGCATTTCCGATACGGAGGTGCACATTAATATTGACCGCGAAACAGCCAACTATTTACAAGAGAAAGAGGAGACCAAACGCGGTTCCGCGCGGCTCTGTTCTGTGGTAACGACTTCTACAGTAAATTCATTGAATCATGATACTTTCCGCGAAAATTATCGCCTTTCTGAAGATTATCCAAGTCCTGATGGATTAAAGCATCGTGCAGGTCTTTCAACCAAGCAAGAAGAAGTGGTAGTGGTGTACTGGGAAGTGCGCCATGCTCGCCCATCATTAGATATCGCTGCGATGCTATCAAATGGGAACCTGAGTTTAGCTTCCAAGAGCGAAACCCTAGCGGCAATGGCACGTTTAATGGAGCGCACCTCAGGAAAGTTCGGTGCTATTCGTGATACTTATGGAAATTTATTATTTCCCAACTAACAAAAAAGGGGAATAAAAACGCAAAAGGGAGTTTTGTTGTTCACGCGCTTCTTTGTGTAATTTTGACAATTAACTTAATTTTTCTTCTCGATTTATCCTTGCACAAGGTCTATTTTTTTCCTTATGGTTGAGGACGTCATTATTTATTAATTTTTTTTTTCTTTCCTTTGCCCTTAACGAATCCAAAGCTTAATTTTTGTTTAACTACTACAATCGCTAACCTTAATTTATAATCCAAATGTCCACTACCTACGAAGAGTTTTCTTCCAAGCTTGACCGCTTAGATGGCGAGTTTTCGAAGAAGATGGAGGAGCAGAACAAAAAGTTCTTCGCCGATAAACCAGACGAGTCGACGCTTTCACCTGAAATGAAGGATCACTATGAAAAGTTTGAAAAGATGATTCAGGAGCACACCGACAAGTTCAATAAAAAAATGCACGAACATTCTGACCACTTCAAGCAAAAGTTTGCTGAGCTTCTTGAGCAACAAAAAAATGCACAGTTTCCTTCTAAGTAGAGGAAATTCAGGAGGAAGACTATTGGATCCTTATCTAATATTTGATATATATATATTAGTTATTTGGGTCTTTGTTAATTTTCTTGATAGAAACAGAATCTATACCATTAAAGATGTATTTAGTTCTATTAAGGCTACTTGGCGCGAATGACGTAGAGACGATAGAAAGTGGCCCATATAGATTAACGTAAAAAAAAAACGGAAATATGAAACCAATTTTTTTCTTCATATTTTAGTTTTTTTTTTCATATTTTATTAATATATCTAATTTTTTTTTGTGAGAGAAAAAATGAAAGTTACCTTATACCTTTCGTATATTTGAAGGATTAGTCAACCCTTTCCTTTTACAAACGTAAATGAGATCAATTCTTTCAATTTTATTTAACAGTTCAACTTATTGCTCTGATTTTTCTTCATTACAGCTATTTAGATTATTCCTTATAAATTTTCGCTACTTTAACATCACGCAACCACCTCGAGATATATTGTTATAATGTCCACAACCTACGAAGAGTTTTCTTCCAAGCTCGACCGCCTGGATGCCGAGTTTTCGAAGAAGATGGAGGAGCAGAACAAAAAGTTCTTCGCCGATAAACCAGACGAGTCAGCGCTTTCACCCGAGATGAGGGAACACTATGAAAAGTTTGAAAAGATGATTCAGGAGCACACCGACAAGTTCAATAAAAAAATGCACGAACATTCTGACCACTTCAAGCAAAAGTTTGCTGAGCTTCTTGAGCAACAAAAACTTGCACAGTTCCCCTCTAAGTAAAGAAATTTAAGGAGGAAGACAATTGTGGTTTTATCTTAGGATCATGTTTTTATTAATTCTCCTACATTGAAAAAAACCAATGATCGCTTCCGAATTGTAATGAACTTCTCAAACTTCTAATATTATTACTCTGTTTTCAAATGGAAGACTGATAAAGACTACACTTCATAGTTCTTTTTACAGTGTTGTGTAATCGGGATATGTGAACACACAAGCTAATGCTTAAATTTGCTGTTTGCTTTTCCCACCTTGATGTATAATACGATCCATAAAAAAAAAATAACCCGGCATTCGAATCTACTCATCGGGTTATTATCATTATTGTGGCTATTTATGAATTGATGTCTTATTATTTTTTCTACTTATAAAAATAGGCCAAACTTATTCCTTATGTGATGCATCATTCTGTTTTGTCGCGCGGATACCTTTCTTTACGTGTGGCATGTGTGGGAAAAGTCCATTCACGAATTCCCTTTTTTCACCCACTTTTCTTTCTGTTTTCCCCTCTTTTGGGAGGGGGTTGGTTTTCCGTGTCAAAGACCCGTGAGGAGGCGAGCCAAAGGCCCTGTTGGGATTCCCACACTGTGTGTGTCCCTCTTTTGTCCTTTTCGTTCGATTCCTTCTGGCAAGTGGGCGTGTGTAGGTTGGAGAGGGGTGAAAATTGGATTAGACAACCCAGGAGGGAGGGGAAGAGAGGGGCGATATGCTTGGCCGTTCAGGTGTTTTTCTCTTCCGCATGAAGCTAGGGGAGATGTACGTGGATTACAAACTCCTCTCCCGCGATCATCGTAAAAGCGTTCGGGTTGAGGAGGCGCTGGTGGATCCTTTACTGCCCACGACAATTGTGCCACTGCGCTGGCTGGAGGTCCTGCGCAGCCCCTCCTGTCGTCTGCCCACCGGGTATTACGTCGAGGAGGAGGTGTACAGCGCGCCAAACTACGGCGATCGAATCCGGGCGGAGGACCCCAAAGCCGCCGGCCCGCTTTCGGCTTCCCCCGCAGGAATGGGCGAAGGACCCTCTTCTTTCCCCCCCAATGCCATTCGGGCCGGGCCGGTGGTGATGTATCTCAGCGGTCAGACCCTCCCTGTTGTGCTCAATCCGCTCTTCGTGGATGAGACGACATGGGGGGGCGAGGAGGGTAGGGGGCTGTGGCCTCGGGCCTCTGGTCCTTCGAATACGAATAATCATCCGGCGGAGCCAGACCTGCGCGTTGGCTTGGACGCGATTGAACAGTGCGGGCTCTTCGCGGAGCTCCGCCCGGGCGGGCTGCTCTACTCGAAGCTCCCACACCGCAGTCTGACGGAGGCGCTGGCGGGGCCGCGTGAGGTCCTAGGGATTCGCTGTGAAATGGCGGCCTCACCGCTTGTCCCGCGGCCCTGGACGCGAATGAAGTATATGTTTATTGACGAGCTCCAACGCGGGCCGGAGTTGACGGAGTTCGTCGGGCATAACCCCCGCAGCGGCGTCCCCTGGCGTTTTTCGCAGCATACCAAACACTTCCGCCAGGGCATCTGGCACGAGATCGTGCGGCGGCATCAGATGAATGATGGCCTGCATGTGCATAGTAGCTGGCAGAAATCACCACAGCAGTCGGTGCCGGGGATTCGCTTCCTCGCACCTTTTCCGTAATATTTTTTTTTGGTGTTTTTGTGTGTGTGTGGAAGGGTAAGAAACAAAATGGTGGAGGTGCTTTTCATTATTTTAATTCCTCTTTTTTTTTTCGCTTGTGAATATCGCAAAGACTTATTTTGTGATTAATACCGTTTGGATTTTCCTTCTTAAACATGCACTAAAAGAAAATGAGGAATATACCTCTTTGTTGAGTCCTAGAAAGGCTAAGAATGCATTGAAAGCTATTCTCAAGAAATCACAGGAATTGCTAAGGAGCAACACCAACGGAAGGGAAATACGGTTCATATATATATATATATTTATATACAAATGGAATCGGGTGTATCTATCTGCCTGAAGTAGAGGTTGATAAAGTAGGGGAGCTACGTACTCAAACCTTTAGTTATCGTTTTTCCTTTACTTTCATTTACTTATATTCCCACCTAAACTATCTTCAATTCTATTTATTTTTATTTAGAAACCCACTTCGATGAAATGTGAACGAGTCTTTTTAGGATTCAACCGTATCCTTCGCCGCGCGTCGTCCTCGGCATTTGACAAGCCGTTAAAAGGGGGGCGGAGCGGTAAAAGTCGTGGGCGCTTTTCCCCTCCCCCCACTCAGGGGCGGCGGATCGGCGGGGGCTCCGCGTTGATCTCGGCCTACGGCGCCGCCCTGCATGGCGCGCACCGAGCGGAAAGAGGCTTTTTTGCGGAGCCTTTGGAGGCTTGGCTGGCGATTTTAGCCTCGGCGGTTCCTTTTTACCACGATAGCCTTGTGGTTTGCCCGTCCGCGATGACAAAAGAGCGCGCCCGTGAGCTGTGGATGCGCGCGAAAGTGCATCTCCCTCGAGCTCACTTCACGCAGCTGCGGCCTCGGGCAATACCCAAACCTACGGCGACCGATCCTATTAATCGAGTTCCTCCCTCGGAATTATCTGCTTCGGTAGAGCGCAGGATATCCGTTCCGGGGGAGGATTTTTCTTTGGTTTCGGTCCCGAACGCGCTTTCTTCCCTACCCGTTTCGACTCCACCGCCGTCGGTTTACATTTCTTCCGAACTCGAGCAATTGCCCGCGCGGTCGCTGGATTTAATTGTCCTGGCAGATAATGTTTTCGGTGAGGAGATGTTGTTTGACGCACCGTGGCATTTATCGAACGCGTATCGTCTTTTACGCCCCCACGGGGTGCTTTCCATCTTGGGTTATTCGCCCTATATTCAATTGACGGCCCCTTCCTGGGCTGCGCAAGACGCGGAAGATTATTGGAAGGAGCTTTTTGCCGCTTGCAAAGAATACCACCACTTGGAATTGTCCAAAACGGTCCCCGAAAGCGCTTTTACGGCGTCGAAGGATCATTCGCGTCGCTTGAATACAATCCAGCCGGTCCTTGACATCCTGGAGAGTAGAATGGTAGGGCATGAGGATGTTTTTTTCCCTTTTCACGCGGTCCAACATCGTTGGTTGGATTCCGAATATGCCATGAGCCCATCCGAGGTGGTGGCGGCTTTTCGCGCAATGCGAATTTATCAATTACTCCACGCCGATCAAGTCGCGGAGGAAAGAATGGATGCGGTAGACGTTCCACCACCCAGCCTCGGCACCTCATCCCCTACGTCGGGATTACACTCAAGTGAGAATCTTAATATTAATTCCGTCGATTTGGATTTTATGGAACTCACTTTAAACAACACGGGGGATTCCCTATCGGGTCTGGCGGTCGTCGAGGATAAACCCGTTTTAAACGTTCGTCATCGACGAAGTCTTGTGGATCCTCTGGATGCCTTGGAGCATTGCTGGAGGGTGCGGCTGGCGATCACTGAAAGCGATTCCTCCGGTGGTCCAAATCAAAAGGCAGGATTTGAAATGCCGCCGTTTCGCGTTCAGGTAAAGCACTTTGCGATAACACTCTCAAATCGTACTATGAACGCGATGTCTTCTTGAAAAGATTCGGCTGATTCATTATTTAATGGATCCGCATGAAGATTATAATAAGCGCCGAGTCATTACTGTAAAGGAACGGGGAAAAAAAAGATCATCGTACGATACGATCCTCGTGTGGGGACTCTCTGAAATATCCTTTTCCCCCTTGCATTATACATTTTCAAATAGGACCCATAACACATGAATTTCCATTAATGTCTAATTCCACATTTTTTATTCACTTGGATACATTTTTTTTAGCTCTTTTTATCATTTCTTCATACCTACTTCAGCAAAAAGGTTAATATCGAATGAAATCAACAACACTAAGAAGAATCTTTGCTTATTTAAATCTAGTTTTGCATATCAATAAGCGGAGTTTGGTACACCATCTGGTTGGAGTACCGATAGCGTGAGCCTGGACTTTTTCTTTATTCATACTTCTTTTCCCAGGATCCCTCCATATCCGGTTGGGTAATACAAGACGAATTGTTTTATTGATTTATTATTAGTATCCCTATATTTTCATCGCCTCGTTCACACGAGCTACCTTTGCTGTTCGCAGTGCTGTTAAGCATAAAGAGGGTAAACGCTAAGCCATTGTGTATTGAAAGGGTCTTCGCACACCCACACCCACACATCTATCCCTCGGATGGACATCTTTTGTGATTACTTCCTGCGCCCCTTACAGAACAAATTATTCCGGAATTTGGGTTATTACGACTACAGCTCTCAAACTTTGAAAGTCAATGCGGCCTACTTGAACGCCATCCTCGATGGCGAGAACACGTTATCGAATACCGGGACGTTTCGTTTGGTGAAGGCGGAGATCAAGTCATCTGGACTGCTTTCGTTCTTTCGACACCTTTGTGGGAGGTCTTTGGAGGTGGAGCATATTGAAATGGTGTTGGACTACATCCCGCCAGCGGGTGTTTCGGCAGCTTCCACGACCTCTGACGAATCCACCGCACGTCCGGCGTGCGGTAAGGATATATTGAAAGCGGCGAATGAATCCGTTTCCGATTCTGAGCGACAGCGTTTGTGGAAAGTTGGATTAATGGGGGCGGAGGGGGAGGAAGAGCCTTTGCCGCCGGAGGGAGGGACGATGCGATCTGAATCCATCGATAGGCAAAGTGGTGGGCTTTTTTCATCGATGAGCCCGCGGGAATTCCAAAAAGAGATGGCGGCCGATTCACCTCGCCACAGCCGAAGCGAGGATTCCTCTCCCGAGAAGTCTCGGAAGGCGAAGGATGAAAAGGGGAAGCATCCCGCGGCGGGATTTCGTTCCGTAGAGGATATTATGCAGTTTATTAAGTTTCAAATGCAGGGGATGTGCATTACGGTGGAGGAGGTACATCTGACGCTTCGTCTCCCACCCGTTCTGAGAGGCGGGAAGCGCTCGAATGCGCGGTCGGAGGGGGGCGCCCATCTTCTTCACCTTCAGTGTAAAGGTGGTTTTATCGCGAAAGTCGACAAGACGGATCCTTTTCGCGAGGACTTTGAGGCCTCTTTGAAGATGAGCGATTGGCAGGTCTTCCTGCGCGCGGCGGGCCCCTTGGAAGAGGGGACAACCTCGTCGGCGACGGATTTTTCTCCCTCCCCAGGCCCTCGCTACGAGTTTGACGATCTCCTTGTCGCCTCCATCCCTAGCGAAAAAACGACCACCCTTTCCCCCTCCCGGCCAATTCTTGAGCACGCGCCGTGCGCGGCCTTTCCCCACACCATTCATTTTTCCTACCGCGCGCCGCCGAAAAGTTCCGATATTCCCCCCGTTAATGGCCTTTTCGCCTTTTTAAGCCCCCCCACTTCGATGTCCGCCCCGCCGAATTTGTCGTTTGGGGGGTTCTACGCCACGGTGCAGACGTCGGAGTGGGCCTTCATCGCCACCCCCCCGCAGCTCGCGACGATTGTCGGACTTCTGCGCGACCACGACGGCCCCCCCGCCGCCCAACCGTCGCGCGAGGGCGCGGAAAGGCCAAAAGGGAGGGTTTGGGATCCCAAAAGCGAATATCGGGGGGCCCCATGCCGTGAAATCAAGGCAACAAGCGATGCGAAGTCCACGAAATCCCCCGCGCCGTCGGCTTCCTTGCCGACGGCGGGATCGGGGAAATGGCATCTGCGTTTGATCTGCAGTAGCGTTTCGATTTCCCTTTTGACCGCCGAGGATCGGCTTACGACCGCGGCAGCGGTGAAATGCGCGTGGGAGCGGGCTTTACGCGGCCACCTACATCCGCGCTCGCTGATCCCGCCGGTTTATCATTTGATTCCCTCCTCGCATTTTACGTTTGTGGTGCGAGGGGTGGATGTGATTCTGCCGAGCCTGGAGACGCACCTTTCGGCGTCTTTTCTGGCCTGTCAGACGGCCGACAGGGCCAAGAAGACGCCTTCCTTGGGCCCATTCTTGACGGATACCCTTCTGGAAGGGAAAAAACTCCGAATTATTAATAATATTTTCTATCGAAATCAGCTCGTCAGTCCGGAGCTGACGAAATTGCTCGAGCAGCACGGGGGGTGGACGGTGTTTGTCGGTCTGCAGTCCATTTATTTCCTAGCGTATCGTCACGACTGGCGAGGGGCCTCCATGGGGGGCGCGAAGGAAGAATTTCAAAAAGATGGCGATCCCAAAGGGCTTTTGTCGACCTCGTTCGACGAATTAGCCGCACCGCGTTATACGCCCAGCCTTATTTTGAAGGCAGAGCGGATGCCCTATGCCTTTGTGTGCATTTTCCGAACGAGCCATCCCATTTTGTGCACCCCTTCGGCTGCGAGTCCGCACGAACCTGGTCAAGCACCTTGGACCTCCGATGTCTACGGGGAGGTGGTGGCGCTTTTTTTAGCGAAGATCCTCGCGCAGGTCGATCCGTCATTTCCCGAGTTTCTTGGCCATTATATAGTGCTTTTGCGGCGACTTTGCATGCATTCTGGTGCGAACGCCAACGCGCCACGGCGCTTTTCCGCGGGCGCGGAGCATATCCACACAATCGGAAAAAGCGGCATTCCCCAAGTTCAATCGACGTCGTCCTCGTCTTGCACGCGGCATCATTTTATGGGCAAACTCTTGATGGAGCAGCTGGAGGCTTGGGTTCGCTTTCCTCTTGACGGCAAATCGGCGGAAAAAGAAGGGGAGGAAGAGGAAAGTGACGAAGGGCCGCTTATGCGCGAACTCCTCGAGCACCTTGGGAGGAAATCGCGCGATTACTATCGCTATATTGCGCGCGCGATGAAGGCGTCGACGACGTCGTGTGGAAATCATCCGCTAAGCCGCGCAAAGCCGGAGCATCTTCCGCGAATGAAAGATCTTCTCGGGGTGGACAACAACGACCGCGCGCGTTTTTTTGCGGATATAATCTCCTTTCGGATGCAGGATTTGCAAATCGAATTTACGCCTGAGGGTAAAGCTTTTGTGAAGTGGAAGGAGGCAGTGGCCTTTATGGAGGATCGGGTCGCCTACCTATGTAGTCTTGCGCATCTTACGACGACTAGTAAAAGTGATAGTACAAGTTCGTCTAAAAAGGAAGGTGGAGGCGCTTGTTTAGGTGGAAGCCGAGTGGAGCTTCTTCGTGTGAATTATAGCGAGGATATGAATTTTACTATACAATATCTGAATTTAGAAGAGATGCTGAGCTCCATGAATCATCCCAAAGCGGAAGCAACGATGCCTGCCAATCAAGCACGCCCGAAAGAAATAAACGAGTTAAACGCCGAGAAAGATTCCATCCCAATTGATAGCCATGAAAAGTTTTTGTCCGCATTGCAGCGGCTTCTATGGCTTGATATTAGCCTTGGTGAAATTACCACGCACCCTTTAACGCAAGATGACTACCTATTAGCGATGTATTTTTTACAACAGGTCGTTGGTAGCCTAACCAAATTCCGCGAGTGCCTTGAAATAAGCGATATGGCGATCCCAAACCGCATCCACGACGACGATTTTCTTTCATTCTCCTCCCAAAACGAAATGCCTGCAAACTCCATGGGAGATGTCTTCATGGCCGCTTCTTGCACGTCTTCTTTCGCGACACAGCCATTTGCGTCT